TTTGTATGTGGTGCTGAGGATCGAACCCGGGCCTCACACATGCCAGGCAAGCGCGCTACCGCTTGAGCCACATCCCCAGCCCAAGAGAGAAATTTTTTTTATTCAAGTATTGGCTTCAATTTCTGTGCTAGTTGCTCATTGTATGAAGTCTTCACCACCATTCCTTCCCTTCTCCTGCCTATTCAAATACTTTTTTATTCAAGTACTAATTTTGTGAATTCACCATCTAGTATGTGTAGTTATGTAATTATGTTGCTGCACTCAGGACATAATTCAGTCTACATTATCTCTAAGGGGGAAGTACTGGGAACTGCAGTGGAGCAAATCATTCCATGCTTGTATGAGTATGTCTAAATGAACCCCAATATTATGTACAACTATCATGCACTAATGAAAACAGAAAAAAGGGAAAAATGAAAGGAAAAAAGTTAATAATAGAATATAACCTGGGGTAAAAGGTGAGAATTAAATTTTGTGACTATCTGACTTCATCTATAGCAATAAGTGACCTTGTATATTGATCCTAGGGTACTAAAAGATTTCAAATCATTAGGAAATACTAAATTATAGATGGTATACTAGAGGACAAAACATTTTAGATTTAAATCATTTCCCCATTCCTTAAGTCTGCTGCTTACATAAAAGATAAGTCTCTAGCTGCTAATTATCTTACCCTGAATACCTCTGCTTGCTTGCTTTCTCCTGGGTACTAGTGGTTGGGTGTGGCTTCAGTTTCTGTGCTAATTGCTCATTGTATGAAGTCTTCACCACCATTCCTTCCCCTCTTCTCTGTTTTTGTTGCTAGCCCTCTTTCCACATCACGTAAGCCAACACGTTGGAGTCTTTCTTATTGCCTGATTTTCATATCACTTTGTTAGCCAGGTTTATTCCCTGAGTGACTCTTATGTGTCAGAAATTGTGCTAGGAACTGTAGACCCCAAAACTAATAAAACACGGTTTTTGCTCTTCTGGAGCCCCAAGGTCTGTCAAAGAGTAGACACTCGTGAATTCCAGCTCACGCCAAGGATTAGGAGATTTGAGACAAAGGAAGAGGCAAGGGCAGACTAAAGGAATACGGATGTCAAGCCAAGTGCCGACCTTAGAGAACCACCACAGAAGTTTAAGCATTCCAGTTCACTATTTATTTTAAAAAATTTTGTAGTCAAAATGAATACACATGCATAATAGGAAGTACAATAAACTAAAGATCATAAGAAATCTTACCATCAGCAAATGTTCTTTTGAAGAAAATTAATTTTAATTAATAAATAATAATTATATCTGTGGGTTGAAATGTGCTGTTTTGATATATGTATATATTATAGAACAATGAAATCAAGCTAATATGTCCATCACCTTATATATCTTTATAGTGTGAACATCTAAAGACCACTCTTAACAATTTTTAAATACGTTACATTTTTATTGACTATTGTCACCATGCTGTGCAACAGATCTCTGGAATCTCCTAAATGAAACTTTTAATACCCTTTGACCAACATCTCAACACAAATTTTTGGCTTATAACCTTAAGCGTGCTACATATACTCTTCGTTTTTGGCAGATGCCCTTTACTGGGTTTATCAGTTTCTTGTTTGCAAACTGGCTTGTTTTTAAAGAAAATTATGAACAAGTATCTAATTTTCATTTTATTAAATCCTTTTTCCTATACTTACTGGAGGGATCATACTCCCCACTCTCCCTTCAGTCAGTTGGTGTGATGAAATGCGTTGATCCCCACCCCATGTTAAAACAACCTTGCTGCCCTGGGTTGTGTTTTTAGGTCATTATTGGACTCATTTCATTGTCTTTGTTTCTTTGTCTTTATTCATGATTGAGCTGGGTCTGTAGTTTTCTTTTTCTTGCACAGTTAACATTTGTGCCACATTCTGTGGTATGACAAGGGGATTGTTTTATTTATTTGACTCTGCATTCTTTGCAGTAGTAAATAGTCGTCCTACAGTGTACCCTTTTGAGTAATGTGGTATTTTACCACATTATGAAGTTTTTCTTTGGAGTGGAGATTTTAGAGTTTGGTTTAAATTCTTTGGGGGATAAGGCCAGTTTGGGTTTTATTTATTTGGGGTCTTTCTTGAATGAAACATATTTCTGTAAAGTACAATTGAGTCCTTTTAAAAACAAATTGTTCTTTGTCATGAACAGAAGTCGTCAGACCTTGAAAGTCAGAGAACATAGTGTGTTGGGACCCTATGTGGATGGACTTTCTAAACTGGCTGTAACAAGCTATAAGGTAACAGCATTCTTTATATGAACTACTTAAATTTAGTATATTTTTTGTTTGTTTTAAAAATTAAATATACAATAGCATCATTTAATAATCACTTTTTAAGAAAAAGTTGTAAAAAGGAGTCAGTGGATTATGAGACCAGAGAATAAATGTAGGCTAAATATGATGAGGTCTTAAAATTAAGCCTTAGGGTTTTCAGGCTTCACAGAACTAAAATAGGTTTGGTAGTGAATTTTACCTTTTGTTGTTGTTTTTCTATTCTGGTACCATTTTATACTTCTTTTGCAGTTAATGTTTTTACTTTGAGGCTTTTTCTCTATCATGTTGAATTTTTCCTTAAACATGATTCTTTTTTACTTAATATGCATAAACAGAATCTTATAATGATTTGCAAAGTTTTCCACACATGTGTCAGTTTAGGATAATATTCAATTGCAGATAACATAAAAAATGTATCGAGGCTAGGGCTCAGTGGTAGAGCTCTTGCCTAGCACATGTGAGGCCCTAGGTTTAATCGTCAGCACCACATAACGATAAATAATAAAATATAGGTATTATATCCATCTGCAACTAAAAAAAATAAAAACATAACAGGATTTAATATTTTTAAAATATTTTTTAGTTGTTAATGGACCTTTATTTTTTATTTATTTATATGTGATGCTGAGGTTCAAACCTAGTGCCTCACACGTGCTAGGCAAGCGCTCTACCACTAAGCCACAACCCCAGCCCAGGATTGAATATTTTGAAGTGTGGGTTATTATCTGTTTTGTTCATTATTTATCTTCAGTGTCCAGAAAGTACCTGGCTTATGGTAGATGCTCTCAGTATACATCGGAGTGGAGGAACGAATGGTGATTTAAATAAGGTTTTCATGGAAAAGAAGTCTGGAGGTAGAGGCTGGTTTGGTGGCTCCAAGGTGTTATTAGGGACTTGCATTCTTCCCCACCCCACATAGAGAGATGTAACAACCATGTTCTCATAGTTCAAGACAACTCTTAGAACCAGGATATGATGGCAAGCTACTCCTTTTAAGGAGAGTGGCCCAGATAGTCTCTATTATACTTTACATCTTATTTGCCAAAGTGTAGTCATGGGGCCAGACCGAGGTGCAAGGGCATCTGGGAAATGTGATCTCGCAGCTTTGCTGCTTGCACTTAGCTAGAGTTCCTTTACTGAGTTCATAGTAGGCAAATAGACAGCTCTTTCAGATGTACCATCTTTTTTGTTCCTTATGAAAATTCTTGTAAAGTAGATGATTTAGTTTTATGTACTTATTTTCTTGCTATGGATTGAACCCAGGGCCTTGTGTATATTAAACAGGAGCTCTACCACTGAGCCACTTGCTTAGTCTAAGTAGATGGTTTTATAACTCTTTATTGTAATTATTGAAATTAAATTTTTCAGATTGGTCAAATAACCCTTCTAGAGCTTATAACATTTTTTTAAAATGAAGATTCCATTATCTTGGGCTGGGGTTGTAGCTCAGTGGTAGAGTGTTTGCCTTGCATGGGTGAGGCCCTTGGTTTGATCCTTAGCACCACATAAAAATAAACAAATAAAAATAAAAATATTATGTCCATCTTCAACTAAACAAATTTATTTTTTAAATCTCACCTTTCTTTCTGTTATACTGTCTCTCTTTGAGTGGTAATAGCATCAAAGTAGCAAATCTCTACAGAAACTAGTTTCTTGATATTCTCATTTTTAAGAACAGGTCCAATAAGATACGTGCCCCAGTATATGGGAAATAATATGCATGGGTGAAGAGGTTACAAGTAAATTATTTTTATTTGATTTTTGCTTATTTATATTATCTAATTTATTTTAAAATATATTTATTTACTTTTTTTTTAAACAGTAGTGGGCTTCATGCATGCTAAGCAAGTGCTCTACCACTGAGCTACATCCTCGTCCCTTTTAAAATATTTATTTTTCTATTTATGCGGTACTGGGAATTGAACCCAGGGGTGCTCTACTACCAAGCTACATCCCCAGCCTTTTTACTTTTCATTTTTAGACAGGGCCTTGCTGTTTCTGAGACTCCTTGAACTTGTGATCCTTCTGCCTTAGTCTTCTGGGTTGTTGGGATTACAGGCATGTACCTCTGCACCTAGCATTTTGATTTTATTTTTGAAGATAGGGTCTTGCCAGTTTGTCTAGGCTAGCCTGGAACTTGCTATCCTCCTACCTCAGCTGCTCAGCTAGGTAGGATTATAGGTGTATAATGCTTTTATAATGAAAGAAATTCTGCTTTTATAATGAAAGAAACTAAGTTTTTCAACTTTCTCAAGTAGATGGGTGTGGGCGTGGCATATTTGTCATGGAGTATTTGTTGTGGTATATTTGTAGCTTCTAAACTTTTTTGAGTCAAAGCTGCCACTCTCTTTTGGAAAAAAAGTGTAGAAAAAATGTAGTTTAGTTGGGTTTCAGAGACAGTATTGGCTATTGTATTCTGTGAGTCTTAATATTAATTGCAAAACACAATGTGAACTCCAAATGTTGTTCACATAGCAGTTACACTTGTAATGTGCTCTGTAGTATAGCAGGCTTTAATGTTTATTATACAGATAACAAGATGTGTGTCTGAATTGTTTTCACTTAGGATATTGAGTCTTTGATGTCTGAGGGAAACAAATCTCGGACAGTTGCTGCAACCAACATGAATGAGGAGAGTAGCCGATCCCATGCAGTCTTCAAAATCACCCTCACACATACTCTGTATGATGTGAAATCTGGGGTAAGTGTTCAGATGCATGGCCTTTTTTTAGTTCTTTTAGGTTATCATCATTTATCTTTTCTCTTCAGATGTTAGATGAATTAAAGACCTAGCCAGACTTACTATCAACCAGGACTTCTTGTCTAAACAAGAAGCAGAAGCCTCTTCAGGTAGACACAAAGGGGTTTAGTGTGGAGAATTAGGTGACTGCAGAGTTGTTGGAATACCTGAGAAGCATTGGATTGTAGGCGGAATCTCTAGGAATAATTCCATGAACCACTTGGATCTGGTCTGTTAGGATGGTGCCATCTTTGAGGATATCCTTTGAGCTTTGGGTTCAAGGCACATCCCACAGGGGTGACCAGGAAGCAGGAATAAGGAAATCGCTTCTGTCAAAGCAGCTGCCTCTTAGCATCCTAGAAGCTGAATGTGCTAGAAAGCCTTATGTTTCCATGATCCTGTCTGCCATCAGAAAAAGCCAAAAGGGGCATTTTACTTCTGCTTTCCAGATCTTTAACAAGGAGATCTGATTGACAGAATTTGTGCCACATTCTGAATCCTGGCTGCAAGGGAGTCTTAGAGATGGAGGCCTTAGCTCCCACGCTGTCCAGCTATGGGAAGGTGGAACCCATCCCACAGCCCTGTCACAGCAGTGTTAGAGCCCTTAGCTGCTGGCTGCCTGTGTGAGCAGATGTTAATGCTCCACTTCATCAGTAGAGGTTCTTCTGCAGTGTTACCTTCTGCCAAACGCCAGGGTCAGGATTTGCTTCCCTTGGGGAATGGCACTACAAAGCTGCTAGATTTTGTAGAGTATTTTTTGGTTATTTAGTTTGGAACCTTGTAACGAGTAGACTGAGTCAGATATGTAAATGTTTCTGCCACATTAAGAACTTATCTGTAGACTCATATTTTCTTTTTCTTTGTATGAATTTTTACATATTTTATTGTGATGCCCGTTCCTCGGAGCATCACTTTCATATACCAGAATCTAAAGGAACCACCCTGGCAAAGTGCTTTATTTTGGCAGGATTTTTATTTGCTGAAAGCGTATTTTTCTTTTCTTTCTTTTTTTTTTTTTTTTAAACCATCACAGCAAGATTAGTGTAGCAACAAAAAGTTCTTTGTTTCCGATTTCCTTTTCAGCATAAAACAAAAAACATACTGAAGACTTTTTTTTTAAAACTAAAAGTACTTTGATTTGGGAAGCTAAATATCCTTTTGTTAGCAATATATTTATTTTATGGAAATAAATATAAATGTATGTTAAAAGGAAAGTTTTTCAAATTATCCAGTCTGTAGACTTTTGGCACTGGTTTCTTACATTTCTTTTTTTCTTTTTTCTTTTTTTTGCTACTGAATTATAAAATATCTGTTTTACATATGCAACTTTAGAAAGGAAAATATCACTATATAAAAAATATCTTTTTTTTTTTGTACCCAGGGGGTGCTTTACTACTGAGCCACAACCCAGCCCTTTTTCATTTTTTATTTGAGGCAGATCTTGCTAATTTGCTGAGGGTTTTGCTAAGTTGTTGAGGCTGACCTCTAACTTGTGATCCTGCTGTCCCAGCCTCCCAGTCACTGGGATTACAAACACGTGCATCTTCACCCAGCTATTAAAAATATTTTAGGTGTTGGGGTTGTGGCTCAGTGGCAGAGCGCTTGCCTTGCACATATGAGGCACTGAGCTCAATCCTTAGCACTACATAAAAATAAACAAAATAAAGATATTGTGTCCATCTATATCTAAAAAATTAAAAAAATATATTTTAAAATATCTTAACTATAAAAAATAAAAATGAAATTATATATGCATTAGATGAAATTTTGTTTTGAGGATTCTTCTGTTGGATAAGTTAGATTAATATTTTTTACATTAGTAAGAATGTATTTTGTCTAAAGATTTTGGTAAACATGAAGTTTTAAGCACAGTTGCAAATCATATTAAAATTTACATCTTCTAAGTCTTTTGTATACTACTCTGAAAATTTTATTGGACTCCTTTCAAAATCTCCCATTTGGGGGGACACTGTTTTTCTGAGATAATTACTAAGTTTATATGGATTAGTAGAGGTCTGTAAATTTTGTGTGCCTCCACTGCTGGATTGTGCAGTTTTCTTACAGTGTTTTTAGGGGCACAAAATGATTTTGCAATAACAACAAATGACTTTAATAAAAGACTTAGATAATAAATCCAGTTGGTTGAGACAGCCTGGTTTCTGCCATTTTAACTGTTCCTTTGTATGTGTCAATTTACTTTGTAGACATCTGGGGAGAAAGTGGGCAAACTGAGCTTGGTTGATTTAGCTGGCAGTGAACGAGCAACGAAAACCGGAGCTGCTGGTGACCGGCTAAAGGAGGGCAGCAACATTAACAAGTAAGCCTTTCAGAAGCAACTTCCTATTGCTTTCCCGAATTACAGCCAAATGGGGGACATCGTGGTCCTTAAATGATTAGATGATTCTCGGACAATTAAGGTTTTTTTCTGGTATTTTCAATGTCATGGGCTTATCTTATGTTCCATGGAGATGTCTGATGGGGCTGAGGAGTCCAGCCTCTGTCAGACAGCCCTAGTGACATTTCTGGGTGACTCTCTGTCCTGAGGGTTGGGGGTCCTGGCCTCCAGGGTGTTTGGTAGCATCCTTGGTGTCTTTCCACTAGAGGGCAGTGTAGTTGTGATTACTCAGACTCTGGATGTGGCTTGGTTTCCCTGTGGGGGCATAGTCACCATCTAGTTGAGAACCACTGATCTGAATTATAGAAGAGAACATGACAATTGGTCTCAGTCTGGTTGATTGTGACCCGTGTGCTACTGTCTGGAAATCTGCCAGGGGCCCTAGCCACACTGGGCTTGCCCTCTTAAGACTGCTATCTAGTCCAAGCGAGGACTTTATGAAATCATGTTTTGTCAACAGTTCCTCCATGCTCCCTCAGGCTCCTTGTGGTTGGGGAGTCTCTTTGTCCTTAGGACTCCCACAGGGACATACAGTGAATCATTAGTGACCAACTATAACTATAGTTATAATCCCAACTATAACTGGGATTATAAGGCACTGTCATCCAGAGGTTGGGCTGTTATTGAATCTTATAGATTTAATTTTTGCCTTGTTCTGTGTGTTAATTACTATTTTGTGTTTATGACTTCTGTCTGTAAGATATGTAGTGTTTGTGTTCACCTTGACCTAATGTTTTACCACTCACATTTTTATCTACAAAAATGCAAAAAAGGGGAGGAGCTAAGCAAAAGGGACAGTGGCTCTTTAGAATTGCTGTGTTTTAAAACAGTAACAAAATGCTGACCACAGTGCTGCTCACATGCAGGTAGAGAGCATCTTGGTGTTTGATCTCTGGCTAAAGGTGACATTTGACATACTCCATTTTTCCTAATTGTTCTGGTTGTTGCACCGTGCAGGTCCCTTACAACTCTCGGTCTGGTCATCTCGGCTCTAGCGGATCAGAGTGCTGGCAAAAACAAAAATAAGTTTGTACCATATCGGGACTCAGTTCTCACATGGCTGCTCAAAGTAAGTGTTTTTCCCTCTCTTTCTTGGCAAATGTTTGATAGTTTATAAAAAGGAAAAGACTGTTAATCTCTTACAGTGATCATTCCCTCCATTGGTGTTCAGATCTATAATTACTGAAGGGGTCTGGCAACTGTGATTTCCATGGGCTGAGTGAGCCCAGGTTTCTTCTGGTAATTGGCAGCCTCTTCCTCCGGAGTCTGCATGCCTGGGTTGTGGGGCTCACACTGAACCACACAGTTGTTCATGGAGATTTGGAGGTAGAAGAAGGGTCCTGGTGCTGATGTGACAGTAGGGGTCACAGGAAAGGACACCCTCTGCTGGGCTGCCCCATCCTCTCAGACTCCTTTGATAGTTGTGACCTTGTTTTCTGTTTGGCTTCACTGATGATCGTTTAATGTGCTTTCACCTTCTTGGAGAAGTTGCTGAAGGGTACTGGGGAGAGCATGGCTGCTTGCTGGTGAATTCAGTTCAGCTGGAAAGAGGGACAGGGAGGAAGGGAGATCTGTATGAAGTGTGGGAGGAGGGTATGGACAGGGCAGTGGAGCCAATCGGCCCCCAGTGGTGCAGGTCTATAGGTAGGAAGGCAAGGTGCTCACACACAGTAGAGCATGAGTTTATGGGGGGCTCTGTGGCCGAAGTAGGTGACAGAGAGACTATTTCCAGATTCCCCAGAGCCTCAGGTTTCATAGAGATGCTGTGATAATAGATATTGGGCTGGGTCTTAGAGGATGTAAATTCTAGGATGGTAGAATTACTAACAGGGGGTCAACCTTGAACAAAATCTTTCATCTAATACTTTTTTTAATGAAGAAATAAGTTTATATGCCTGGTTTAGTTTTGTGGGGCTCATTTTCTCATTGGTGGGAGAAAACACTGTGTTTGAGAATATATAGGGAGTGGAGCGCAGGCCAGGAGCTGGGGGAGATTTGGAGGTAGAAGAAGGGCCTGGTGCTGATGTGAGCAACCTTGTTGAGGGAGGCAGAGTTTTCTCCTGGCCTCCACATGCTCCCAGAGTTTCTTCCTAGTGTTCATCTTTGAACCTGAAACTGTACACCACTTGGATGTGCTTTGTTGCACCCTTTATATACATGTCCTGGGTTCTGCTTCTGTGTAATGCTGACAGTGGAGGAATTTGACACAGAGTTGCTTCCTTTGGCCAAAAGGCAATATAATTAGAAATTTAAAACAAAAAGATAAATAGATGTTGACCATTAAAAACCACTTGGAAATGGGTATCACAGTCATTTTACTACCTGGAATGTGTAATTAACCCTGATAACCTCCTGGTTTTCCAGAAATCGTCTACATAGGACATTTATTCTTCCAACTTTCACAGAAGCATTCCTGATCACACATGACTATTCTCTGGATGTACCTGAATTAAAAGGCTTAAAAGAATTAAAGGAGTTGTGATACATGCCTATAATGCCAGTGGCTCAGAGGCTGAGGCAGGAGGATGACGAGTTCAAAGCCACCCTCAGGAACTTAGTGAGACCCTAAGCAATTTAGTGTGATCCTGTCTCATAAAAAATACAAAGGGCTGGGGAGGTGGCTTAGTGGAGGTGGCCTAGTACTAAAAATAAATATAGTTTTTTCAATCTCTAGTACCAAAAATAAATGTATAAGTAAGTAAGTAAAAGAATAGTTTTACTGTCCTTGTCATTTCAGTGTTACTGCTTCGGATTATTTAAAATGCTGACAGTAGTTAAAATGGCCTAGAAATAATTGAGTGTCCGTTGCATAAGCTGGAGACCAGGGGAACCTGTTTCAGGACAGTCAGGTGCTTTCCAGGGCATCTCAGTCACTTTTCATAGGTAACAGCAGTCTTCTATTTGCCAGAGGAGGAAGAGGGCACAGAACTCACCAAAGACAGGGTTGGGCCTGGGGCCTGGGCTGAGTGCCCCATGCATCTGTGTTTGTGGAGGCTGTGTTCTAGTGGCAGGGTTCATCAGGAGGGGACTTGCTTGACTTCACCAATCTTTGGTAGGATATAATGAGAAAACGGTTCATAATACTTGAAGAACTTAGGTTGTAATTGCAGCTCTAAACTAATTCTTAGGTTGAGAAATAAATTGAATGTATACTTGACTTTGTCATTTTTTCCCCATTAAAAATCTGTAAGAGGGGCTGGGGTTGTGGCTCTGTGGCAGAGCTCTTCTCATATGTGCGACGCTCAGCACTACATAAAAATAAGTAAACAAAATAAAGATATTGTTTCTATCTATAATTAAAACAACAACAAAGAAACCCATAAGACCTTTTTTCTATCACTTCTGACTTTTGCACCAAGATCATAAGTAGGGGCATTTCTTAAGAAATGATACATCGGAATTTTTTTTTAAGAAATTCCAATGTATAATTATGATGTGCCAATAAAAGGGGGAAAATGTATTCCAGAACATAAATAGTTTCCCCAAGGCCTCTCCAGATCCGTGGATTCCCCAGATCCTTTTCCTTCTTTGATTCTTTTTCTAATTCTTCCTGATCCTCATTCAACACAGGTGAGAATCTCATGTACCTAACATTGCTTCCAGTGAGCTCCTAAAATTGCTGGTCTTTTATAAGATTTTCCATTTCTTTTTAGAGATCTTTTTGCATTGTGTTCGCGTAATAATTGTGCTGTGTTATTGTTGTTTGTAACCTTCTAAATGTGGATCTCTCATCGCGTGTGGTGATGAATGCTTAGATAATGAATAGCTTTTGAATTAACCCCCTCTTATTCTTGCTGAGACTTCTCTGATGAAGCCTGCTCCAGTATCTTGCCTAGATGACAGACACTTCCCTTGAGATTTCTTGGTCCAATCCCTTCTCCATAGTACATTGCAACTTCTTTCTAAATTAATTACTTCATCTCTTCAAAAACTGCCCTTAGGCCTGTGGGATCAAGTCCAGATTGTTTCCTGAGTGTCACTTACAAGTCCCTGCTTAGCCTGCCGCCTCCTAACCCCTGACTGCTCGCCTGCTGTCTCCGGGAGTCATCACCCTAGCCTAGTGCAGAGTGCTGGTGCTCTCTTACTTCTGGGGCTTCAGGCTCCCTCTGTGCAGAGTGGTCTTCCCCTTCTTCAGTTCCCCGGCACTGCTCCTTCACCTGCAGGTCTCCAGTGTTGCCTTCCAGGCATCCTCCTGACCTGTCAGGACTTGCCTTTCTGCCCAGCTGGGCTTCTGCCCTCTCCGACCACAGTTGTGGGCATCGGGCTTCAGTGCTCGCACAGCGCTGGCTCCACCAGGACTCCGGTGCTCCCAGCTAGCATCTGACCTGGAGAAGTTTGTCGGTCTTCCTGGCTCCCATTCTCATCTGGAAGACAAGTAATTTGATGACTTCAGAGTTCTTTCAGCTTCAAAAAATTATGACTTCCAAATTAAATCTCTTTCCAGTGTCCATTTAATTTGCAGTTGCAAAATTTGAAACAAAGCTTGTCTGATTTGCCTAATTGTGCAATTGAAGAGTAAACAAGAAACTTTATACTTTCTCCTTGAATGAGTGCCAGTTCTTTGGTTGCTATTTCCTTTTTCTTAATGGCATGAGGCCATTTTTAAATATAAGCATATTGTTCCACGATCAAGGGTTTTAAAATACCAAGCATTTGTCGTTTGCCAGGTTTCCTTTTCTCACATACATCGAAGCACAATGCATGCACTTCTCTCCTTTGGTAGTTGCTGTTAGAAATCTCCCACTTGGGTTTGCTGTTCGTGTGGGCCAGCAGCAGGCAGTAGTCTTTGAAGGGCTGCACAGTGCTACTGGTGTTGAACTGAATTGCAGAGTGACATTTTTATATCACATCTGAACGTGTCTAAGGCCTCATGGAACTCTTCGTGACAATTTTCTGGAAGTTGCCAAATCCGGGGCACCAACGATGTGAGATCAGTGACTAGAAGTGAAGAATGAAATAAGCAGTTATGACTTTCACTTCCTGAAGTCCAGATTGGTTCTGTTTCCTGCCTTTTCAAATATCAAAAGTGTATCTTCTTCAATATGATTTTATCTTTGTTTTCTTTGGAAAACCAAATTTGTCAGTAATGGATGAAGAAGCAGACACTAGGGCAAAATAATTTGGAGAAGTATCAAGTCATCTGACTTAGTTCTCAGGTCTGAGCTTCCTCTGTATTACCAAGTATGTATCGGGAGCTGTGAAGGAGCGGAAATCCTATTGCAATTGATAGCAGAATATAACCGGGTTAGAGTATTGTTCAACTTACTGGTTCTGAATATTTCAGGCAGGGTATTTTACCTCCTTTATCAGAACAAACCTCTGTCTTCTCGTTGATAAAATGGGATTACTAAGAGTTTCACAGAAGGCTAAGAAATAAGTTTATACACAGAGATTATGCTAATAAATTTTACATGATTGAAGTTGGAAAACTTCATGTCTTCAAAAGTAAGAATTTTCTAGCTGGGCTAGTGGCACATGCCTGTCATCTCGGTGGCTTGGGATGCTGAGGTAGGAGAATCACAAGTTCAAAGCCAGCCTTAGCAACTTAGCAAGGCCTTATTTCAAAATAAAAAATAAAAAGAGTGGGGATTTGGCTTAGTGGTTAAGCACCCCTGGGTTCAATCCCTGGTACCCTCCCAAAGTAAGACTTTAGGTTAGTGCTACCCCAACACAATTAGCTTTCTTGTGATCTGATGAATTCCCTATTACTATCCAGATGGAATATTTTTTCTTAATTTTGAGACTCTATCATGCAGTGATTTTTTTTTTCTTTTTTTCTCTTCAGTGCTAGAGGTTGAAGCCAGGGCCTTGCTCATGCCAGGCAGATGCTATATCACTGAGCCACATCCCCAGCCTTCATTTAATGATATTCTGTTACTGAAAGAGGGTATTGAATCCCCCCCCTTCCTCCTTTCTTCCCTTTTCCCCTCCCTACTTTGCAGCCTGGGGTGTTAAGTTGCCTAGGCTGGTCTGGGATGGTAGGAGTGGTTACCTGTTGTGCTGGAACACATCAACCTGCCCCCAAACTTGAACAACAATTGTTTATCACCCTGCAGTTTCTATAGGTCAGGATTCTGGGAGCTCTAAACTGGTTCTGGCTGGGTCTCTCATGGCTGCAGTCCAGGTGTCAGCTGGGGCTATGGTCATCTGAAGGCCTGGCCCCAGGGGGGCGGGGCTGGGGTCTGATCACTTACATGGTGCTTTACTGAGCTACATTCCTCATCCCTAGCCCCTTGAATCTTTTTTTTTTTTTTTTTTAAATTTTGAGACAGGTTCTCACTAAGGTGCCTAGGTTGGCCTAGAACTTGCCATCCTCCTGCAGCTCTCCTGGATTGCGGGCATTTGCCACACTGGCCTTATTCACTCTTTTCCCTCCCTGTAGGACAGCCTTGGGGGTAATAGCAAGACAGCCATGGTGGCTACGGTGAGCCCAGCCGCGGACAACTACGATGAGACCCTCTCAACATTGAGGTACGCGGATCGAGCCAAGCACATTGTCAATCACGCTGTAGTGAACGAAGATCCCAACGCTCGTATCATCCGGGACCTCCGGGAAGAAGTTGAGAAGCTCCGTGAACAGCTGACTAAGGCAGAGGTATGAGACTCAGCTTGGTCTAAGATGAGCTAGAACTTGAATTCCTCCCCTTGGCTGTAGGCAAGAATTACTCTTTTTTTTTTTTTTTTTTTTTGGAAGAATTTTTGTGTTTCCTATGGGAAGAGAAATTTGAGCTGAGTAATAAATGAAGGAATTTTATCATATTGGAAATTTTGAGAGATTTTTACAGGTGTTAACAAGAATTGGATAGAAGAGATTTTTAAAAAATGAGAAAACGTTTCTTTTCATTTCTATTCAGGCAGCAGATGTGAGGAAGAATGTTAATAGGATAAAGGGGAGGAGGAGAGAGACAATGAGAAGAAAGTATGTATAACTGGATTTTCATTTAGAAAATGAGAGTGGGCATGGACTAATTGGGAGAGAAATCAAACACGTGGTGATGTTTAGTCTCTCATTTGTTAAGATAGAAACCAGAATGGAGGTCTCATTCACCTTAATAATCCAGTTTTTCTATATTGTAGGTTGTGTCGTAGGAAAAAGAAAACTATGACTGAAGTAGCTGTGGTCTATTTTAGCTGTCTTCTGTGTATCCCATACAAGTCTATCCTGTAACCAAGTGGTGCTCCTTTTGTAGGACAGCCTTGGGGGTAACATCCTTGAGTGACGGTGTGTGGTGTCAGATTCAGGATTGCCCTGCAGCTAGCTTTTCTGCCCAGTCCCTTAGTTGTCTGGGATTCTTTTGGGAGCCGGCCCCATAGCCCTGTTCTCCATACCGTGTTTCATCTGTTTTCTGGTAGTAAGTTGAATGCATGGGCAGGATGGCTATTTTGACCATGTTTTTGCCTTTTGAATTTTAGCCTGTATTTACAGAAGTGATTTTATAGATTTAAAGGTCCTCTATTTTGGTCTTTTCTTCCTGGTATTAATAACAGCTTCCAGTTTTCAGCATGAACACATTTCATCTGTGTGTTCTTGAATAAATTCCAGAAGTCAGAAGTAGAAACCAGACTGAATCTCTTGCATGAGTCTAGGTAAAAATCTTTTGGAATTTAGAATTAATAAGCCCTTCTTAACTAGCCTCATGTGTTTATCTCCTTAAGAGAGTGAGCTCTTCACAGTAGGTTGAGGACGGGTCAGGTGAGTCTTCCTTGGATGACTCTGTGGTGGTCTTCTTAGTGTGTAGGTGCTGGTGTCACTGGGGACCTGCTGGTTCGTGTGTTGTGGGTAGGTGGACAACGTGGCACTGTGCACTGGGGAGAGGCCAACAGTCACCTTTGTCCTTTTAGCTTTGGCTGATTCTTTTTCTGGGGCACTGTGCAGACAGTTTCATGAAGTGAATATTCTGCTTGTAGGCAATGAAATCTCCAGAGCTAAAAGACCGGCTAGAAGAATCGGAGAAGCTAATCCAGGAAATGACGGTGACCTGGGAGGAGAAATTGAGGAAAACCGAGGAGATTGCACAGGTTTGTTTCCCAACTGATCAGGAGAGCAAAGTTCTTGGCCATCTGCACAGTGGGGTTCAGGTGACGCTCCTGGTCCCCTTTTGAGTTTTTCCTTTGCTGTTGGCAAATCTAGCACCCATGGAAATTCAGATCCATGAGCTGCACTTTACAAATCAGTCTGAAGGATACAGAAGGTATAATTTCCAGTGATTTGCTATGGAAGGGATAGTTAATTTTTTAGTGCCAGTAATCTTAAAAAATATTAAAAACAAATAATTTGTAGCCTCTGATGTGAACACCTCATTCTGTTACGTGTTTGTAAAACTGAGGAAATTAGTAGTGAAATTACGATATCACTGGTATAGATATTAGGTTATGAACATCTTGCTTCCAAATGACAACTCAGTAAAAGTAACATAAAACACCGAAATGTGAGGCAACCTTTTCTCATTGCTAGAAAATAATAATATAGAGTTGTGAGAGCATAGGGTGGGAACATGAGCCTAGCCTAAGAAGCTCTAGTAACTTTAGCATTGGGGGAAAATGTCTGAAAAATCTGTCTTTAGTGAAAGACCTCCTCGATAGTTCTTCTGTTACCTGGTTATCCAGCCTGTTTCAGAAAGGTTCGTGTCCATGTGAAATAGTGCTCCTCCAGCACAGTGCTTAGGCAAGGTTTTTTTTTTTCTTGTTTTTTTTTTTAATGAATTCACTGATGATTTGAGTGCTCAGTGTGTGTCCTGCACTGTGCTAAGTGGTAGGAACACAGCCGCATAGCCATGGTCTGTGTGAGGGGAGTGGTCAAGTACACTGATGGTCACCTAGTGTGAGCAGATGCCAGTGTCTGCTCCGCACGGAAGGCAGAGGTGTGAAGCCCCTGGGTGGAAAGGCACAGACACCCTTGATGACACTTTGAAAGGCCTGGAACTGTTCCTTGGAGTTGAGGGCAGGGTTTGAAAGTAGGTGTGACAAGATGTGCAGTTGGAGAGGACATGGGCCAGGAGGAAGGGCCCCATGGACTTCATTGAAGAACTTTGGCCTGTGTCCTGAGGAGTCACTGAAAATGTCAAGCAGGAGAGGATATTGAAAACTTTGCTTTTAAGAAAGACCACAGCTGAGTAAAATACACTCACATTTGCTCACATATATAGAATTAAATAGATGAACTTAAGAAATTTGATATTTTTAAAGAAGAAAACTGAGCTGGGTGATGTTGCATATCTGCAACCCCAGCAACTCTGAAGGCTGAGGCAGGAGGAGTGCAAGTTTGAGGCTAGCTTGGGCAAATTAGACATATCTCAATTGTTACCGTCCCGTCCCCTCTCCCCCATAGTAGGGAATGAATCCAGAGTACTTTACCACCTTTATATTTTGAGACAGGGTTTCACTGAATTGTAGAGGCTTGTCTCAAATTTGTCATACTCCTGCCTTAGCTTCCCAAGTAGGTGAGATTACAGGTACAGACCACCATCCCTGATGGGGATTTATTTTTTAAATAAATTAATTAACAAATTAAAATAGTTTTGAGCTGGGTGTGGTGACACATGCCTATTATCCCATCTATTGATCTATTGTTTGGAAACTGAGACCAGAGGATCCCAAGTTTAAGGCTAGTCTTGGCAATTTACCAAGGCCCTCAGCAACATAGTGAGACCCTGTCTCAAAATAAAAAGTGCTGGTTATGTGTCTCAGTGGGTCCAAACCCCAGTACCATGAAAGTTGTACGTAGTTGAGAATAAAGAACAAAGAGCAGTAATCCGAATGCCATATTTGAAGAATAATATTTGAATTATAAAGGTAATGAATAGTTATTCAAATATTGTAGGGCCTTCCGTATCTCACTGCCTTGGTGGCTGAGGAATAACACTTCTCTAATACTTTTGCAGGAACGGCAGAAACAGCTGGAGAGCCTGGGAATCTCTCTGCAGTCTTCAGGAATCAAAGTTGGGGATGACAAGTGTTTCCTTGTTAATCTGAATGCTGATCCTGCTCTGAATGAACTCCTGGTGTATTATCTGAAGGTGAAGTAACATGCCCACACAGAGTACAGTAAAGTACTTCTTTAAACTTGGGGAGCCATGCTTTCTCAAAACAGTGGGCTGAGATTTAGCTCAGTGCGGAGCACTTGCCTAGCTTGTGCAAGGCCCTGGGTTCCATCCCTAGCACCTCAAAACAGCAACATTAGCAGCAGAACGGTTAGAAAATTATTTTTATTTGAATAAGCTGAACAGTTTGGGGTTTTATGATCAGTTTCCCTTTTAATTCTTTGAGTGATGTCATCTGGCCTAGTCTCATAAAAAATGATATTCTAGTATTTCCAGCAAGTTAAATCACTAACCTACCATTATTTAGTATGATTTATAATAGAGAATAATGTTAAAGGACCACTTGATAGGAAATTTATATTTCCAGTAATTCTTAGGAAAATTTTAAAATTATGAATTATTAACCTGTTTTATTTTTTACTTATTTATTTTTTAGTTGGACACAATATCTTTATTTCGTTTATTTATTTTTATGTGGTGCTGAGGATCAAGCCCAGGGCCTTGCAACGTGCTAGGCAAGCACTCTACCGCTGAGTCACAACCTCAGCCCCTAACCTGTTTTTTGTTTTTTTTTTTTAAAGAGTCAGTCACTTAGAAACTAAGAAAGTCAGAGAATGGAACAGAAAAAGACAAAATATTGGTACACATTGAAATTTGTAAAGCATGGGATATATGAAGACATGAGACAACTTGAATTGGATGTGGTGGTGTACACATGTGATAATGTGTACATTAGCTATTTGGGAGCTTGAGGCAGGAAGATCTCAAGTTTGAGGGCAGCTTGGGCAATTTAGTGAGACCCTGTCTCCAAAAAAAAAAAAAAAAAAAAGATAAGATGCAGCTTTGGTAAGAGCCTGAACCCCAGGGGATGTGGCTCAGTGGTAGTAAGTGCCTACCTAGAAAGAGCATCAACCTGAGACCACATAATGTGAGGAGTACTCCAAATAGTCTTTGTCAGGATCACAGCGCAAATTAATTATATCATGGACTGCGTAATTCTAGGGTTAGTACATACATCAGGATGTGGTTTCCCCCCATATATCTGGGATTAACTAGCACGACTACGAAAATAAAGCAGATGAACTGATTAAATTGGAAACAGCTTTAAGATTAGAAAATTGTGTGCTTGCATTTCTAAAGACTCACATTGGCTAATTTCTTAGTTTTTATCAGAGGTATACTGTATGAATTGCTTTGTGCCATTTTGTTAAGGTCCCTTTGTTAATAAGTATCCTGTGCTGTGTTTGGCTATCTGGTGAGTTAACTTGGGTCTTTGACACACACCACAATGCTTGCACTCTTAGGTATTATAGTCAGTGGGTGCAGTGCTGCAGGAAGAGGGAGGAGGCCTGCGTTCTGCAGGTTCTTCTGTGCAGATAGATAGAAGCCACCTCTGGCAGGTTCATGTGGGGTTAGATATATAGACGCACTTTACAGATACTATACACTTTTATTTCATGTTCCAGTTTCTCATTTGATACTCTTGTTTTCCAGTACATGTGTAATAACCTTGCCTATTAAAAAATGATGTGGGCATGGTGGTGCATGCCTATAATCCCAGCTACTTGGGAGGCTGAGGCAGGAGAGTGGCAAGTTCAATATTAGCCTCAGCTACTTAGTGAGACTATTTCAAAATCAAAGTGCTAGAGCTGGAGATGTGGCTCAATGGTAGAGCATTTGCTTGGCATGTGTAAGGCCCTGGGTTTGACCCTCAGCACTGCATATGAAGAAAGAAATAGAAGATCCATTGAAAACAAACAAAATTTTAAAAATATTTTTTAAATTTATTTTTTAGTAGTTGTACACAGTACTTTTATTTTATTTATTTATTTTTATGTGGTGCTTAGGATCGAACCCAGGGCCTCGCAAGTGCGAGGCAAGTCTCTGCCGCTGAGCCACAACCTCAGCCCCTTTAAAAATATTAAAAAAACAAAACAAAACAAAGTGCTGGGGATGTAGTTCAGTGGTAAAGTGTCTCTGAATTTGATTCCCAGAAGCAATAACAAATGATGTTCCCTTACTGTGCTTCTGAATGACGTTGGCAGCATGTTCAGTTGGAGCATCAGCCACAGATATCCACATGCTTTAGGGGAGATGCTGTGTTAGGGTGGGACTTACAATAGGCAGCCATTTTTGCTCCTCAGAGCTAAGAATTCTTTTCCTTTCTGGTGTGATAGAGTTAAAATTGGAACATGCAGATGCACATCCTAAGAAACCCCTGATTCATATCTGTTCTTTAACTAAAAAGTTAAACAAAGAAAGTGTTTTGAAGAGTGGTTTGTGGGGAGGAGCTGGCATCTCTGATCGTCTGCATGGAGGTGTTCCACTGGGTTTCAGACTGTGGTCAGCTGTTTGGGCGGTCAGAGGCAGCGATACTGTGTTGGCTGCCAAGCCAGCCCCAAGACAAGACATACTCATGACAAAGCACATTCAAAAGGGTATCTATCTCAGCCAAGAACAGTTTTCACTGTAGGAAAGTGACACCGCGATGTGGGCAGGAGGAATTTGGAGACTGAGTGTTTTTTCTTTCTTTGTCTTTAACTTCTCAGCCTGTTCCAGTGCTAGGCCTTTGACTCCAGAGGTGATGACTTTAGCCACCCAGCTATAAGTGGAGGCGCTGGATTACAACATCTCAAGTTCTGCCTAACTCTGGGATTTGGTGGTCTCACTCTTCTCAGCACAGCCTCACCCGTGTGCTCTGCACATGGAGTCACACACACTCTCCTGCTCCCACAGACTTCGTCTCCTCTTGCTCCCCAGCACCCCCAGCTGTAGGCGCTCCTCAGGAGCCTCCTGGCGCCTCCTCTTCCTCATTAGTTTTTGCTGCATTGCAAAATACGAGGCACAATATGAGGGGCTTATAGACTTAGTTAACGTCACACAGTGTGGCTTTGGCAGAATTGAGCTTTTTGAATTCAGTATTTGAGATTCCAGGGTATCATCAGCTACATCACAAGAGATTTTTAACCTCACATGAGACATCTAAGTTGTCATTCCTAACGTAAGGTCTGTAATTAGGAGTTTATCTATTTTTTATATGCCTAAGTGGTTCAGTGCCCAGCTCATGTTGGGTGCTCAGTATAATTGTTGATAAAAGGAAATTTTTTTTCTGGAACTTGGATTAGACCTTTGCCTGTTGGAGTTCATGTCTTTTGCTCCTGGTAATACGCACTTTTTGTTTGGCACTCAGTGCATGTTGTGTACGATGCTGGTTGTACTGGTGCACAAGTCCTCCATAGGTTGTTCTCCAAATAAGGGGAAGTAGCAAGTCTCAGTACCTGCTGAGTCTTAGGTGCAATCAGGGTTTGGTAAAAGGGAAACCCTTCAGTGGAAGAAGAGGGAGAGGTAGGTGTGGGAGATGCTCTGTATGGAGAGGGAGGGAGGAGTGTTGCAGGCAGAGCAGCAGAGCCAGAGTAGGGGTGGGAGGAACCTGGGAGTGGAGTTTTGGTTCCACCTGTCTAGTGGCCATCACGAGGCTTTTTCCATTCCCACCCCACTCCTGAGGACAGAAAGGACTTCTAGGGCACAGCTAGGATTTGGCACTAGGCTCATTCATGGGAGGGGAGGGAATCTATGTAGAACTGGCTCAGGGATGTTTCTTCCTTCTGTGGGTGGTCTTGGATGCTTCTTGCTGGCCCCTGCTTTTCCTTTAACATCACCTTGCTGGTGGTGATGACAGTCATGGGGCATGCGGGGCAGGGAGAGAGGCAGTGCAGTCCATTCTTCAGCCTGCCTTGGAGAGTCCTTGCAGTTGTGGGACTGGCCTGGAAGCCCCAGCTGATGTGAGGAGGGAGAGGTGCTGGGATGTCCTCTGCACTCCCTGGGGGCTCTGATGGGCACCATAGATAGCTGGGAAAATCCTGCAGAGGAAGAGGCGTTTTGTGAGGCTGAAGTCCCAAAAGAGGGGGAGCAGGGTGTTTACGTTGAAGGGTGACCTGCTAGAGGAGGAGGATCGCTGCCTTTGGACCTGAGGAATGTGGGGGTGTTCATTTGTTTTCCGTGTTTGTGTAATGTCTAACTGTGCCAGGCCTGCGTTAAGTGTGTGGAATACCGTGGGGAGCAGGAGGCTGGTCTCTGCCCCAGGGAGTCTGAGACTAGGGTGTGGTTGTGGAGGTGAGGTCAAATCTAAGGATTTCCCGATTGACACAGGTGGGCTGGTAAGGGAAAGAGGGAGGACTCGGGTAGTATCTGAGCTTTTTGGTTGATGGTCTGGGTGTTGGTATTGCCATTAGTATTGGGGAGGGGAATGGACTTTCCTTGGGTCAGGAGGAGGGGAGCAAGTTCTTTGGCTCTGCTGACTTTTCAGTGTCTTCAGACATCCCAGTTGCGTCTAGTAGGCTAAGTAGGCAAATGCTGATGGTGGAGGTGGGAGAAGGTGGACCTGAAGTCTGTGTTCTGGTTGGTGATAGAGACTTAGCTTACACTTGGCAGTATTTAAAGCCATGGGTGGGGATGGGTTCCTGAGTCACGAGTCAACTGACCACTTCCCACAGGTCACATCTAATGCCCTTTCTGGTTTTGTATGGCTCAAGAACTAGGAATAGTCTTTACCTTTTTAAATGCTTGAATAGTAATATTTTGGACATGTGAAAGTTTTGTGAAAGGGACTGGGGCTGTGGCTCAGCTGTAGCGCACTTGCCTGACATGTGTGAGGCACTGGATTCGCTTCTCAGCACCGCCTATAAATAAATAAAGGTCTATCAACAACTAAAAAATACATATATATTAAAAAAAGAAAACATTAAACTATAAAAAAATGAAAGTTATGTGAAATTCAAAATTCAGTGTTCTTAAGTAACATTTTATTGGGACACCTTCCCATGTATTTATTTCTGTTTTGTTTGATTCTGCATGACAAGGGCAGAGTTGAGTGGTGGCATGCGTCCCAGAAAGCCTCAGACATTTCATATCTGACCCCTGGCCCAGGTGTGTAGACAGGGGCCTGGGAACACAGCCCAGTTCCCATCAAACCTTAATCACATACGAGCAGTCAACAGTTGTGCATAAGAGGAGGCTCAGTTTTTAGAGGCCATTTTTCTCCATTCAGATTAGGTAAGTCACCTTCCAAAAAGTGGGGGTAGACATGAGTCATTGGGGCCCAAGGTAAGAACTTATCTGTAAAATCTTGTTTATGAGGTTTGAGGAGACCATGAAATTCATAGAATAATTTTAGTCTTTTTGTACTCTCATATTTAAATAGCTTTTGTCTTTGTAGTTGATTTATTTTGATTAAGACCAGGCAAGTGATGTCTAGCTTAAGGAACTGTGGTTTCTACACATGGTTTTGCTCTTTGTGGGGGAGCATGGGCAGGGATTGAACCTGTGTCACTTAACCACTGAGCCACACACCCAGCCCTTTTCATTTTGTATTTTGAGACAGGGTCTCACTAAGTTGCTTAGGGTCTCGATAAGTTACTGAGGCTGGCTTTGAACTTGGCTCCTCCTGCATCAGCCTTCCAGGCTATTGGGATCACAGGCGTACACACCGTGCCTGGCCTCCTCACCATGCTTTTGGTACATCTGTGACACATGGCTTATGATCTGAGAGTATTAGAGTTCAGACGGTGATGAAAAATATGAATATAGTAGGAATATGGATATAAAGATATAGTTTTAGTTGTAGATGGACACAATGCCTTTATTGACTTTTATGTGGTGCTGAGGATAGAACCCAGTGCCTCACACGTGCTAGGCAAGAGCTTTATCACTGAGCTACAACTCTAGCCCTAAAGTTATAATTTTAAGTTTAAAAGGTATTACTCAGCTGAATGTGTTATTTCTTATAAAGAAACTTGCAAAAAGAATTTTACTGAGCAGCTACGGAGGCTGAGGCAGGAGGATTTCAGTGAGACCAACTCAGTGAGACCCTGTCTCTAAATGTAATATAAATAGGGCAGGGTAGGTGGCTTAGTGGCTGAGTGCTGGGGTTCAACCCCTGGTACCAAAAAAAAAAAAAATTCAGAGAGCTGGGCATGGTAGCATATGCCTGTAATCCCAGCTACTCAGGAGGCTGAGCAGGAGGATCATGAGTTCAAAGCCAGCCTCAGCAACACAGCAACACCCTAAGCAACTCAGTGAGACCTGTCTCTAAATAAAATATAAAAAAGGGTTGGGGATGTGGCTCAGTAGTTGAGTAGGTTCAATCCCTGTTACCCTTCCTCACACACACAAAAAAAGGAATTTCAGAGTGAATTTCTACTCTATTTGCTTTGAAAATCTTATTATCTAAGGTAATGGATCAAAGAGGACTTCAGTGCGGGTGATTTTAGTTTATGTACATGCAAGAATACAGTATTGATGAGTAAATTTTGATTTTTTTAGGAACATACATTGATAGGGTCAGCAGATTCCCAGGACATCCAGCTGTGTGGAATGGGGATTCTTCCTGAACACTGCATCATAGACATCACGTCAGAAGGCCAGGTTGTGCTCACTCCTCACAAGAACACTAGGTAACGAACTCGAATGAGTGTTAACATCACAGTGATTTTTAAAGGGAAGAATATACACTAGTGGTGGGCAGTAAGGGACATTTGTCATTAATTTGCCAAATGACATTTAGAACTTTGAAAAATGGTGCATAATAATGTATTATACTTAGTACCAGTAAGCATTTTATATAATCCAGTGAAGTAAATGCAAAATACTAAGATTCACCAAGGACAGGTTTTATTTTGGAGAATTAATCATTTTGTTTTCCCTAGTAACTAGGCTGCTGTAGTACTGGAAAACGAAGCAGAGGATGGTGTAATCATTACTCATGGTTGACCTTTTCCCCACACAGAACATTTGTAAACGGGTCCTCTGTCTCCAGTTCAACACAGCTGCACCATGGAGACAGGATATTATGGGGGAACAACCATTTCTTCAGGTATGACATTGCTCATGGCCCTTCAAGGGGTAGGTTACTGAAGATGATGCTCTGGAGTAGAAGCATACATATTGGAAAGTCAACTTTAATTTATAAAAATCATATGTATAATCTTTGTGTATGCAGGTATATGTATATGTGTAAATACAGTATATGTATGTTTTATGTGTTTGTTCACTGCATAAGTGTCTGAACTCTAAGGATATATGGTGTACACTCAGGAAAAATACTGAGTTTACTTGTATATATTTTTCCTTTTATTTCCCATTGAAGGATGATTGTTCTGCCATCTGGTATAAGAATTCATTAATTGTTTTTGTGACATGTTTATCTTTGAGTGTGTATTCACTCAGATGTAGTTTTATATGTATAAGATACATGTGATTTTTTTTTTTTCTGAAAACTTGTGGTGGTGGCCTTATCCGTAGCATCAGGATGGCATTCCCTTGGGAGAGCTTTTAGCTGTTGGTAACAGCACACTTGACAGTCACTGCTTAAACAGATGATTTATTTCTCTGTTAGAACAAGAAATCTGAAGGGAGATGGTCGTTAGTGTTGGGCAAGCCTCTCAGAAGTGCCCTGCTGGAGCCCACCCTTGGGTTGGTGCTTTCCTGCCCTCTAAAGATGCCTGTGCCCTGCAGCCTTGAGAGCAGCTCGCTGGCTCCAGGAGGAAGGGAGGGTGAAGGGGACCTCGCGAGCCCCAGTAGTCCTCCTGTCAGACCCTGGCCGTCCTCCACTGTGTCCCCTTTGCTGGAATTTGCTGGGTGCTGGAGGGCAGCGAGAGGAAAGCCTTCCTGGGCCTGCACACAGTTTCCCAGACAAGCGTGGCGTCGTGTCGGCCAGGACAGACAGGCTGGGTGGTGTGTGCGTTAACATCTGAGTCTCCCCCCGTCCTGCCCCTGGCCAGTGACGTTTCATAAGGCTAGTAGAGGCCCTTGCTTGGAGGCCTGTTAGTATTTTGATGTTTGAGGAAAGAGTAGATGGATACAAATGTTATAGAAAAAAATTTTCATGTTTTTCCTTCCCAAATTAAAGCAAGTATAAATTGCTTGGCTTGGTCTTCCAGACCCTTCCTAGTCTGGGCTAGGTTGGTCTTCCCAGCGCTCTCTCTCACCTGTGCTTCGTGGAGCTCGTGTGTCCTGTGGTGGCTCACGCATTCTCAGAGCCTGCCAGCACCTGGCTCACGCCTTCCCACACTGCCCTTGCCCTGCTTTCTGCTTCTCCTCTGGGGTGTGGCGGACGATCTCCTGCTCCATCTTTCCTTCCTTGACTACTCTGCTCTGAAGGGGGTCTGGCTTTTCTTCTCCACCTGGCTGGTAACAGTCGTGTGCCCATGTCACACTCTCTGTTATAATTATTTGCACACACAGAATGGAAAGCTCCTGAATACAGCAGTTTCCTTGTATTTACATGGCATTCCTTTGGCATCTGGCAGATGCCAGTTTTAAGGAATGGAATGACTAAATGTTTATCTTTTGTTTTCTTTCTTTTTTTTTTTTTGTAGTTCTAGATGGTCAGAATTCCTTTATTTTATTTGTTTATTTTTTTATGTGGTGCTGAGGATCAAACCCAGTGCCTCATGCTTGCTAGGCAAGTGCTCTGCCACTGAGCTGCAGTCCCAGCCCATAAATGCCTATCTTGACTTTAAAAATGATATTCTTTTTTTTTTTTAACCCCAAGACTCAGTTTGCCTAAAAAGAAAAAGAAAGCAGAACGAGAGGAAGAGGAGCAGGACACCTCCCTGCGGAACGATAACAGTTCTGAGCAGTTGGACGTGGATGGGGACTCCTCTAGTGAGGTGTCCAGTGAGATCAGCTTCAATTTTGAGTATGCACAGATGGAGGTGACCATGAAGGCCCTGGGCAGTAATGGTGAGTGGTCTGCCTGTCTTCTGGAATCTTCCAGGGTTGACAGTCTTAAAAGTATTTATAGTTCAGGTCTTTTCATGTTTTGCAGAAGGGAAAATCTGTGTTACTGGTCTCTGAACTCTACCCTCTTGTGCCTTTGACTGTAACAACTTACTGTATCTATAAAACCCCCAGTGCTATCTTGATATGCCATCAAATCACTGCACACTTTGTTCTCATTGGTGAAAATTCTCAGGTGTAAGGCTACTGTTGTCATGTTTCTGGAGCACTCACTGTGTCGTGGGTGACGATAGGGCACACAGGAGACTTGCTTCTGTTACACGGAGCATAGTATGGGATAGGAGAGGACAACAGGAGCTGGAAGTACAGAAAGCTGAGTTTATTCCAAATTGTCTTTAGGGGTATTCGGTGGTACTGGTGTGACCAACAACAGTATAACACAGTGGGATGACATTTGAAGTGCATTGTCCTTTTGTTCATCCTTTTTTTTTTTTTTTTTTTATACAAAAACATGTTTAGATCCAATGCAGTCGATATTGAACAGCCTAGAACAGCAGCATGAAGAAGAGAAACGCTCCGCACTAGAACGGCAGAGGCTCATGTATGAACAGGAGCTGGAGCAGCTCCGAAGAAGGCTGTCCCCCGAGAAGCAGAGCTATCGTACAGGAGACCGGCTGTCTTTCCACTCGCCCAGCGCCCAGCAGCGCCTGAGGCAGTGGGCGGAGGAGAGGTAGGCCCTGGCTTCAGTAAACTCGTCACACTGCAAGAGAGTGTGCGTCACAGCCAAGAACCACTTCACATTATTTTTCATTTTTGGCAAACATGGAAATCTCCAATTTGTGTTTCTTTCTTTAAAACTGGCCTTGTTGGGCTGGGGCTATGGCTCAGTGGTAGCGCACTTGCCTGGCATGTGTGAGGCACTGGGTTCGATTCTCAGCACCACGTAAAATAAATAAAGGACTATTAACAACTAAAAGCCAACCAAACAAACAAACAAAAAACCCCTGCCCTTGTTAGGTGCTGTCTAGTTTTCAGTTTGTACGGCTTTTGGATTTGAATAAAAAAGTATACTTTATCATTGTATCATGCTTTAGGTTCTGAAGCTTGGGTAGGTGTTTTTTAAAAAAAGGAAAAAAAGAAAATTGTCTGGACTGATGAGCTCAGGTAGGTGAAGCATGGTGCCACTGAGGTGCAGATTGCAGTTTGACCTCTGTGCAGCTAACTAGCATCTCACTGAAATGCCCTACTCTTGGCTGCATCGGATATCACTAACCTGCTCATCCAAGTCTGGTCTTTGGGCCTGCAGCATTCCTATCAGCTGAGTGTGATAGAAATGCAGACCCTCCTGCCCCACTCAGGCCTGCTGGGTAGAAATCGAGTCACTCTTGAGTTTCTCAAGATCCCTGGATGATTCCTGTCCACAGTTGTGAAGCGCTGCCCTTTTCTGTGGTCAGCTTGTTGCACAGGTGTGCCAGGTGCTGGCAGTGCAGCCCAGACAGAAGTGCGTGCATGGGATTGTCAGCAGTAGAGTCCTTGTGTGCAGGACTGTCGTAAAGCTCGGCTTGCACTGGGCATCAGCATACTCCGATGTTCTGAGGTCTGCTTTGGGTATTTGTTAGCTCCCACTCACCTCGGCCTTTCCTCTTTGTTTCTCCTAAAGAGAAGCAACGTTGAACAACAGCCTGATGAGACTGAGGGAGCAGATCGTTAAGGCCAATCTGTTGGTGAGAGAAGCTAGTTACATCGCAGAGGAGCTGGATAAAAGAACCGAATACAAAGTGACCCTGCAGATTCCTGCCTCCAGCCTGGATGCCAACAGGAAGGTGAGGCCCTTCCTCAGCAAAGACAGATGTCGTCGTGTGAGTTGCTGGGCACGGCGCTGTGCAGGGCGCTGGTGGCTTTGTGCCCCGCTGCTTTCCAGACCCACCCACGGAGGCCCTTCAGTTCTTCTCCCTTGAGTAGAATTCACTTCGTTTTGCCTTTGTGTGCATGCGTGCATGTGCACACATGCACACACATGTGTATACGTATGGATGCGTGTGTGTATGTGCGTATACACACACACATTTACATTAAAAAATATGTACATGTGTATGTATATTTATCCATTAGGAGTATACTCTCTACCTCCTCACAGTATATTTCACTCCCTTATTTCAGATATATGTACACATATTTATTTATTCAAACATGTGTCAAATATTTTATTTAACTCATTAATTCAGGAATGTAACTTATTATCTGTTCCTCCATGTGTAAATTAGGATTGTGAGATACATTTACACATAGACCCAAGGAAAGTCAGGATTCACAGAGCCATTGTCAGCTGTATCTTGTGAGATAACATGCATTTCTTTGGACAGCAATCAATCATTTACAGCAATCAATCACTATATGTTTTCTATAACTTCCTAAATTGTAAATGGCTTAAGAGACAGACAAGTAGGATATGCTAGATGCTAGATAAGACACTCAGCGATCTTTTCTTTTTGGCAGGGGGGAGTCCATCTCAAAGTCGTTCACATTTTTTTCTTAGCAATGTGGTCATGTTTTTTTAATATGAACATGTTTTATTTATGCTGAGTGTTGAAGACAGGAGTATTAACAGAAGGAAAAATACACCTGTATTGACCCTATAACTAACTCTTAAATGAGAAAAGTGTCTTATTTTTAATTTTGAAGATGAGTAATTCTCCTTTTTTTGTACTAGGGATTGATCTTAGGGGTGCTGTACCATTGAGCTACAGTCCCAGTCCTTTTTTATTTCTTATTTTTTAATTTGTTCCAATTAATTATATATAACAGAATACACTTTGACACATTGTACACAAATGGAGCACAGCTTTTCATTCCTCTGGCTGTACATGGCTCAGGGACATTCCACTAGTGTAATCTTCATGTGTATAGGATAATAATGTTGGTCTCATTCTACTGTCCTCCTCATCCCCACAGCCCCACCCTTTCCCTCACACCCCTCTGCACAATCCAAAGCTCCTTCATTTTCCCCTACCTGCCTCCCCACTATGGATCAGCATCTGCTGTTCAGAGAAAACATTTGGCCTTTGGTTTTTGAGGACTGGCTTATTTCAGTTAGCATGAGATTCTAGTTCCATCTATATACCTGCAAATGTCATAATTTCATTCTTTAAGGCTGAATAATATTCCATTGTGTATATGAACCACATTTTCTTTATCCATTTCTCCACTGAAGGATATCTAGGTTGGTTCCATAGTTTAGCTATTGTGAATTGAGCTGCTGTGAGCATTGATGTGGCTGCGTTGCTGTAGTATGCTGATTTTAAATAAACCGAGGAGTGGGATAGCTGAATCAAATGGTCAAATATATTTAAATTATTTCTGAGAACTCTGTTAATATCAGTCCTCCCACAGTACCTTTTTCCTTTATTACCACTCCATGGCCCTTCCCAAGTCAGGTATTCACTTTATGTATATCATGTTGTCTTCATTTGCTAATAGATTGCTCTATAAAACCATTCATTAGTTGTTTCCTATATATATTTAAGACAACAAATCTCTTTTTTGAGTAATATAATGAGTATAATAGGATTTTGTGGGAGAGTCCTACTCAGATATCCTATTCTGACCTATAGTCATTGTCATCCTCATCCCCCCCACTCCATGCTCCTCCTCTTGCACCTTCTCTAGCTCTGATTGTGTGTGTGTGCATCTTAATGGATTAGAAGGACTTTTCTCTTCCTGCATACTTCTGCTGCATCTGCGTGGTCTCTTTCTCCTGCACTACCCTACACACATCTCCATCAGTCTGTTTCCATGTTCTGTGGGAATTTGGCAGCAGGGATAGCTGCTGTTTCCCAGTGATCTCTCAGAATCGAGCTCACCATTTTGCACAGTCAATATTTAGCAAATATGACTCAATCTTTTGAGTAATAAAGGTACCGCAAACCTGATCATTACTGTGTAGATCCTTGTCTCTTGATGGATACTCTGTGTGCAGTTGGAAAGATTTTACCTAAACTTCATTCTGCTTCTTAGTTATAGGGCAAAATCTGAGTACAGTGGGACTCAAAGACATAGTCAAAAGAGGAGGCCAATCATGGGCAGAAGTTATAGGGCTTAAATTTTCTAGAAGATGGAGCAGTATAAAAATCTTCTCTCACCCTGTGGTATCTGAGAACTGAACATTTTACCCGTAAGCACAATGATAGCGCTTTTCTCTGTATCCTGTTTTTGAGCTTTATTTGGAAGGAGCTCTACTGCTTTGGGGCAGCCAAGTCAGCCCCTCGTGCCTCATGTCCCCTCGGGTCTCTCTCCTCCCATCCACCTGTGTGCTCCCTGGGGCTGTGCATTGCTGACGGAGGTGCGGTAGCAGCTATTTGTTGATGATGTAGGTAGATTCCTGGACATTTAGTCCCAGGCCCAGCATTCTGCCCCTGGAAAGTCAGTAGCCACAGATCACTAATGGGAATTTTTTTTTTTTTCACTAGCTGGCTGAAGATGAGGTGGAAGGGCCTAAAGCACATGAATTTTCAACTTTAGGAATTATTAAATCTCCAGCTGTGTTTTGAATTCAGTGGCAAAATGCTTGTCTAGCATGCACCCAGCCCTGAATTTGATCCTTAGCACTGCCAAAAAGAAGAATTATAAATCTTTATTTCATTATGCAAATTTTATTTCTTTGGAAATGATCATATGCAAGATGTTAATGAAACATTATTGTATTTCATGGTTCACTTAAGTTGTAAGTAGACATATCAGAGTAGTTAATAAATTAAGCCAGTACATTTATTTATTTATTTATTTATTTATTAAAGCCAGTACATTTAAATTGATAGATGATGGATAGATACATCGTTTGGGGGAGATGTAGAAGGATGTTTTTATTTTCTACTTTGTGGTTTAAAAATGTTCTAAAAGTTTTTCTACATTAAAAACACATTCCTGTGGCTGGGATTGTGGCTTAGTGACACAATGCTTGCCTAGCATGTGTGAGGCACGGGGTTCAAGTCTCAGCACTGCATGTAAATAAATAAAATGAAAGTCCATCAACAACTAATAAAATTTTTTTTTTTAAAAAAAACCTCATTGCATAGTTGTAGATGTGGCTCAGTGGTAGAGTGCTTGCCTGACCTGCTTGAGGCCCAAGGTTCAATCCCCAGCACCACAGATACAACAACCGAAAACCGCATTATTACCCAAGTTTGGTAGGTTGTGCCTGTAATCCCAGCTACTCAGGAAGCTGAGGCAGGAGGATCACAAGTTTGAGGCCAGCCTGCACAACTTCGTGAGACCCTGTCTCAAAATAAAAAGGTCTGGAGTAATGAATCTCACTATTATGATAATTGTAATGTAGTAATAAAAAAATTTGGAAGAAAAATGGCCTGGAGATATAACTCAGTGTTTGAGTTCCTGCTTAGTATGTGTGAGGTACTGAGAAAAACACAGGTTGCTTTTATAAGCTGGAAATACTTCATCAAATACTATTTTTCTAGCAAAATTTGCATAACACAACATTGCTATTCTAAAGTAAGTAATTCACAGGCATTTAGTACATTCACAGTGTTGTGCAACCACTGTCTAGTTCTCTACTAATTTAATAATAAATTCAATCTATATATTCGGAATCTAGTATCATTTATTGCTTCCAAATGGAACAATTTTCATAGTTTAATCTTTTAAGCAGTTTATAGTAACTTTTCTAAGAATTTACTCTTTTTAGCATTAAGATCCTACCCATTCAAAAAAAACTGAAAGTTACACTTCTGAAAGTATAAAGACACTTCTTTACTGTGCATCTCAGCAGACTTCCCTTTGCCCTCCTGTATGTGTGACTCTTTTTCCCCGTTGATGTTCTGTGGTCATACAAAGTCTGAATAAAAACATTCTGAATAAAATATTTTTAGTTGTAGATGAACACAATACCTTTATTTTATTTGACTTTATGTGGTGCTGAAGATCAAACCCAGTGCCTCACACGTGCTAGTGTTAAGTCCTCTGCTACTGAGCCACAACCCCAGCCCCTGAACAAAGCATTCTTATTTCAGCTTCCCATTGAGCATAATAATCTAGGATTTGAGGTTTTCAATTTGAATTTATATCCCATTACAGTAGAAGTCTAAATGTAAAGTTATATCTAAACCTATTCATACTGAAATTTTTAGTTTTGACTGTAGCTGGTTGGAAAGGCTTTGTAACCATCAGCTTGGTGTGATGACCTGGCCAGTGGGTGTGGGCACTCAGCACTGGCCTTGTGGTGGCCTGATGGCATTTCACACCCCCCTCTGCTGTCTTTGCAGCGAGGCTCTCTCCTCAGTGAGCCTGCAATCCAAGTGAGACGAAGAGGAAAAGGAAAGCAGATTTGGTCTTTGGAAAAACTGGACAACAGGCTGCTGGATATGAGAGATCTTTATCAGGAGTGGAAAGAGTGTGACGAGGACACCCCGGTAAGCACTAAGGGAAGGGACCCGGCTGCAGTGGGCTGCCCATGGGGAAATCCTTTGTGTTCCCAAAATGGTTGTCCTGGTTCTATAGCAAAAGTTATTTTAATCCTTTACATTGTTTAGTTAATTAAGAATTTTAGAAACCTGTCCCTCAGGTGTCCCTTTCCTTCTCCTTGCTCTTCTCTGCATTTCTAACAGAGCTCCCACTTTGGATTCTGCCTTCTCTTGGACGGGTGTGTCTATCCCCTTGCTGCTCTGGGGCTCTCCATAGGTCAGAAGCCTGGCCTTATCAGCTTCCTTCTGTTTCTCAATAAACTAAACCCTATGAAGTGTGTTTTTTAAATTTAATTCAGCAGCGCTTTAGTATTTACACTATTAGGAACCTTTTTTGAAGAAGCTTTGATTGTGACATGGTTCTGTAAACCTCTGTACTGGTACTTGCTGCTTGATTTGCAGGTTCTCTCATTGAGTTCAGCTATGTACTTGTATGTGTATAAAATAGAATATATAATAAAATAGAATAATGCACATAATGTATCTTCAATACTGCTGGTCCCGTTTCTACATATAGTTGTTGACTACCTTAACTTCATATTTTGTAAAAATGTTTATTTTTCAAAATTGATATTGTAAAACCGACTTTTTATAGTTAGATGACATTTTTGCTTCACATTTAAAAAACTCTTTTTTGTTCCTCTCCTATTTCAATTGAAAAGTAAAATAACAATATTAATACAAAAAAAGCTGCTCCCTCTGAGTGTCACTTCTTATTTGTAGCAATGTGTCTAATGAGTCATAAGAGATGGGGTGACCCTATTCCATAACAGAAAAATGGAGAATATTAGTGCACTCCATTTCTTTTGTAGTCAGTATACTTTGTTTACTTATTTTTGCAGGAAGATTTCTATGTAAAGGAGAAGAAATGATAAAAGTAATGGCCTACTATTGGGATTATCCTTTGTGGGTGAAGGACACTGACCTCCATTCTAAGTGGGAATGAGGGAATGTGTGTATGAGAATAATACAGTGCTGTGCTTTGGCAAGAACTTACTTTGCAGTAAAGAATACTAGCGATAAAATTTACTTTAATGACTTAAATTAAGAGTGTATCAAAAATCAGTAGGTTGAATGCATTTATTTTATGTGATTTTTGAGAAGTTTTGTGCTCCAATTCTCTTTTAGGTTATCCGATCGTACTTCAAGCGTGCTGACCCATTCTATGACGAGCAGGAAAATCACAGTCTCATTGGGGTGGCCAATGTCTTCCTGGAATCCCTGTTCTATGATGTGAAGTTACAGTATGCTGTCCCGATCGTCAATCAGAAGGGAGAGGTTGGCTTGCTCATGCCTCAGTTTCTGCAAAGTACAGTGCAGGGAACAGTAGGGTGGCAGTGGGATCTTGCTGCTGCCTTTTTTAACATCAGTAATGACAAATGCTATGGATGTATGTGGTAAATACTTTGTTTCCATAGACTTTATGGTGGTTAGTCCAGATACTTTGAGAGCAGAAGTAGTGTCAGAAAGGATCCTTCTGCATTCTGATACCGTTGACCTGATAGTGTGGCTAATTTAGAGGAGAGGGCCTCTCAGGGATCTGGAAGCCATTGTCTGCTTTGCCCCGTTGCTCTAGGTGGCTGGTCGGCTGCATGTAGAGGTGATGCGAATCAGTGGTGCCATTGGGGAGAGAATCGCAGGAGGTGACGACGCTGCGGAGGGCTCCTTTGAGAAGGAGGCCCAGGAGAGCAGACTGGTGTGCATGGTAAGTCCCAGGTTTGTCTGGGAAGTAGTCTAAGCGGGACTGTTTTTGAGGATTGTGGGTATTTAGATGATGAATCTGTGTTCTTTTTTTGGATTTTGAAAACATCTGTCACCAAGTAAACTTTGTAGTGTTTGGTATTCTTGGGACACGGATCCTGAAGTATGGGTTCAGCATTTCTAGAGCTATGGACAAGTCACCTCTTTTCTCTGGGCCTCTCAATTCCAAAATCATAGGAGTCTTTGTTTATCTGCACCTCTCTGCAGAGAAGCCCTTGTCTCCCACTGTTTGCTCCTCCTGTTGGGGCTTTTGCTTCTTGTTGAAAATAGGTGTTTACCCCAGCTCTGGTGTTGTCCCTGAGCTGCAGCCCTAGCCACCCTTTGCAGCCTCTCTGCACGACCTTTGCTCTTCCTCCCCACAGTGCCTTGGCCGTGCTGTGCTTGCACACCCCAGTTGCAGCCCTCTGCTGCCTGCTCTTCCCTGGTGTGCTGTTCATCACACTTTTGTTGGGTGTTACTGGTCAGGCCTCATGTCAGATCCCAGCAACATGAAGATGAGCTGGGAGAGGTTCCTGCTCTTCAGTAGCTAGGGCCTGCTCGGTCTTCTTGTTGGTGTACAGAAGACTCCAGTGTTGTGTGTGATCCAGGGGCTTCATAGAGTAGGCACCAGCGGTCCTGAGACACAGAGAGAGAAGGTGATTCAGACAGCAGGGTCTGGGGATGATTTCTGGGCAAATGGGACAGGCTAAACCTGAAGGAGTTGGGGTGTTGGGTTAAAATGTCTCCACAGGTGCTCTTGGTGTTTCTGAGTATAATGGCTAGGTAGAGGGTAGTTGGTCATTACAGTTGTCGGTTCCTGCCCGCTTAGATTGGGGAGAGCCACCTCCCCTACTCGTCATGGCATTGCGAATGTCCTTTCCCACATCTCAGAACACCCTCTAGTAGGCCAGCAATACCATTGGTTGAGAACCTTTGCAGGATCCAGGGAAAAAGGTTTTAGTGACAAGAAGTCAGCACAGTGTCCTGTGCTGTTTACAAAGCAGCCCGTAGCTGGGAATGGCCATGCACACCTGAAATCCCAGAGACTAAGTGGGCTGAGACAGGAGGATCTCAGGTTCAAGGCTAGCCTTGGCAACTTAGCACGATCCTGTTTCAAAATAATAAGTAAAAAAAAGGATTGAGGTTATGCCTAAGTGTCCCTTTGCTATGCAGTGCTTGTACACCCTGGGGTCAGTCCCCAGGACTGAAAAAGGAAAAATGAAGAGAGGCCAGTAAAAGGTCAGGGAAAGAAGCTACACCTGACTCTTGTTTTTTTTTTTTTTTTTTTTTTTTTTTTTTCTTGGTGGTGGTGCTGGGGATTAAACCCAGGGCTTTGTGTGTGTGAGGCAAGCACTCTAGCAAATGAGCTATATCCCCAGTCCTAGAACTGACTCTTAATTCATAACCCATCCTAGGTTTTCCTCAGCAAACCTTTCTTAGAATTTCAGGAGTAAGTTATATGTTTGCCTCAAGTAGGAGAAGCTAATGCTGTTACAGGGAGGGCCACTTTCTGCAGGTCGCAGCATGTGCTAAGCAGGTCTGCCGTGTTCCGTGGCTCCAACCACTTCAGAATAAGGGGAAAACACCGTTATCTGCTAGAAGGTTCATCTTTATTGCATTGATCTCAGAATCTGTCCCTTGAGGTATTGCGATTCTCAGGGGTGGAGACAAGCTTGATGACTCCGTGTGGCCCAGTCAAACGGGTGGACTAGAAAGTGCAACTCTGAAAGATGAGCTTTTACCATTGCAGTAAAACAACATTCCAGGAAATTTATCATCTTCACTGAAAAAAAGTAGTGCATCCAGTAACCTTTTTTTAATGATGGGGCTTTAAAAAATGCTGGTACAATACAATATATCTTAAGATTTTTTAAATGAAAGGAATTAAGCCCATGAAAGCAGTAGGAATAGTCTAGTTGACCCTCTTTATCACCAGCTGACAGCAGCTGATGTCATTTTGCCTCTCTGTCTTGGACAGCTGCAAGCTGAAGTCTGTGGTATTCTGACACCTTGTGGTGATTTTCATTTTTGTATGTAAAAACTTAAACCCAATAAAACCCTAGACAACCTATGTTCTAGATCCTGAGTCTCAGTCCTAAGAAGTTGCTTGCAGAGGATGGGTCAGTGTATGACATCTTATTTCTTATTCTTAAACTTAGATGAATTTCTATAGGGAAAACGTGGCTTTCAGACAGAATTCAGTCACAGAGAAGTATGTATTGAATACCTCGTCAGTTGCTTCCATTCGTTTCCTTTCCTTCATTGGTGTGGTGTCACCCGGGACAGTAGGGTGGCCGTTAACATTCACAGATCTCCCAGGAGAAAGCTGAGCCTAAGAAAATTAAATATTGGGCTGGGGATGTGGCTCAAGTGGTAGCACGCTCGTCTGGCATGCGAGCAGCCCGGGTTCGATCCTCAGCACCACATACAAACAAAGATGTTGTGTCCGCCGAGAATAAAAAATAAATAAATAAATATTAAAATTAAAAAAAAAAAGGTAAATATAATGCCTGGGGACAGATTTAAAAAAAAAAGAAAACTAAATATTGTATTTCTTAATTAAATTTTTTTTATTTGTTCATTTTAGTTATACACAACAGCAGACTGCATTCCATCATATCATACATACATGGAGTGTAACTTCCCATTCTTATGGTTATACATTATGCGGAGTTACACTGGTCATGTACTCATATGAGCATAGGAAAGTTATGTCCGATTCATTCTACTGTCTTTCCCATTCCCCTTTCCCTTCCCTTCTCCCTACACCCCCGTCTAATCAGGGAACAGCCATCCCCCCACCCCACCTGTTGTGAATTTGCAAAATCAGAGGTAATATCTGCCCTTTGGAGTTTTGAGATGGGCTTATTTCCCTTAGCATGATATTTTATTCCTCTTTATTTCTGAGTAATATTCCATTGTATATATGTACCATATTTTCTTTATTCATTCATCTGTGGAAGGACACTTAGATTGGTTCCACAATTTAACTATTGTGAATTGAGTTGCTATAAACATTGATGTGGATGCATCACTATAGTATGCTGATTAAGTCCTTTGGGTATACACCAAGGAGTGGGATAACTGGGTCAAATGGTTGTTTCATTCCAAGATTTCTGAGGAATTTCCACACTGCTTTCCAGAGTGGTTACACCAATTTGCAGACCCCAGCAAGGTATGAGTGTACCTTTTCCCCCATATCCTCACTAACATTTATTGCTACTTGTATTCTTTATACTTGCCATTCTGAGTGGAGTGAGATGGAATCTCCAATTGCTGTTGATATTGAACATTTTTTCATATATTTGTTGACTGATCATATTTCTTCTTCCGTGAAGTGTCTGTTCAGTTCCTTAGCCCATTTATTGATTTGGTTATTTATTTTTTTGGTGTTAAGTTTTTTGAGTTCTTTATATATCCCAGGGATTAATGCTCTGAGGTGCAGGTGGCAAAGATTTTCTCCCATTCTGTAGGCTCTCTCTTTATGGTCTTGATT